GAGCCTGTTCAGCAGATTTCTAGTAACAACTGGACTAGATAGCCACAAAATGTTTCATCACAAAAATATGATGTGACTATGTGAGATGATGGATTTGCTAACTAATTTATCCTACAATGTAAAAATATATCAGAACATCACAGAATAACACACATATATATATATAATATATGCAATTTTTTGTCAATTAAAAATAAAATGAGTAAAATATTGTAAGAAGGAATAAGGAGGATTACTCTGAATTGGTGAGAATCTTTTCCCCCGGAGTGTGCCAGAATGGAGCAGGTGCTTTTGACCTAGGAGGTATGGCTTCTGGAACACACAAACAAGATTACTTCTCTGGCTAGAGCCTCAGAAGAGAAACATACTCTGTTCTGTGACTCTCAGATCCTTCCCATGATTGCAACTGTGCCCTCTGCATAGGCTTTTTTTTTCTTGAGGTAGAGTCTTACTATGTTGCCCTGGGTAGAGTGCCATAGCGTCACAGTTTACAGCAACCTCAAACTCCTAGGCTAAGTGATTCTCTTGCCTCAGCCTCCCAAATAGCTGAGAGTACAGGCACCTGTCACAACACCCAGCTATTTTTTGTTGCAGTTGTCTTTGTTGTTTAGCAGGCCTGGCTGGGTTTGAACCCGCCAGCCTCAGTGTATGTGGCTGGCGCCACAACCACTGTGCTATACACAGGCTTTTTTATAGTTATTTTTTGAGGCCTCTCACAAAATTAACTATTCTACTTTTTCAACTAGGAAGAAGATTCCCTCCTTAATATCTGCAAGGAGATTGTGGAACGATGGTCAGAGACTCAGAATGTTGTCACCAAAGTGAAAAAAGAAGGTAGAGTTGGAATTTCTGTATCTCACCTCCAGGGCCTTTTCCAGCAGCTTTGGGTGGGGAAAGATTTTTTTCATTTTCCCCTTTTGATGCTCATTTTCCCTGAGGTAATTTACACCAGCAAACACATAGCAGCCTGCTTTGACGTTTTATTGAACATTAGTTTCTTTTTCTCCTTTTGGATTTTTCCGTTTTAGCTGACCACAGTTACCTTCATTGTGTTTTTACCTTTTCCCCTATCTTCTTTTCACTGCATTGCAAATATGAGGTCAACTATATTTTTCCCACTCTTTGTCTGTGGGCTTAGTCCACAGGCGTCTCTCCATCCTTTTTACAGATGCTGACAAAGGCTCCATTTGCCACTAAGTCCTCTGCCACCTGGTCTTAAGTCCAAAACACATAATGCAGGCATAGAGCATTCCCATGTTCATTCGCTACATTGATGTGAGCTTTTACTTCAATAGCTTTTATACAATATCATGGTATTCACGATGGGCTGCCAGGTACAAGGGGGTGTCATCCCCATGGTTCATTACATTGATCTGTACCCTGGTATGATCAGCATCTCAACCACAGCAAGTGGCCCTCTTGGTAGGCCCAGTGCAAGGGGAAGAAGCCATGATCATCCCCTTGGTTGAGGTTGTTCTCTGTGTTGTCCAAGCATAGATGCATGGCAACAGTGTTGCCCTCCGACTCTGAGTGAAAATGTTGTCCCCCTACCCCAGCATCCTACTGCTGAGTCTCCAGGATTGAGGAAACCTGGGGACTGTAGAGGGTGAGAAGGAGGATGAGCCCTGAGCTTTGTCCTATACAGGAGAGAAGTGTTGGGGGTGGGAGTCTGTGAAGGAGTTTGGGACACCAGGTAGATCCCTGACTGTCTTCTGGTTGTCTGATTGTATTTTAAAATATGGCAAAATATTCTTTTTTTGTGCAATTTTTGACCATGGCTGGGTTTGAACCTGCCACCTCCGGTATATGGGGCTGGCGCCCTACTCCTTGAGCCACAGGTGCCACCTGGCAAAATATTCTTTTTTTTTTTTG